TTATCAACAGGTCTCTGAGGGGTGGGGTGGAGGTTATCGGTACCAAAATCAATAAAATGGGGTCCCTAGTATTGTACAACTGTTTTGACCTTTCCCTTTTTGAATTAAAAAAAACCCCGCAAAACTTTGTGGACTGTGGGCATTGTAGTCAAAGAAGAGCTGTACCACTAACCTTTGCTGCTGTACGACATTCAACAACTCGAACATTGAAATGAGTTCCTGCAGATTCTGATTTCTTCATTTCAACCTGGTAAAAGATTCAATAGAGACTTTTAGCTTGGGCATAAAGTCCATTTCAGACCACATGTCATTCCCTTGAGAATAAGATTCTTTGTTTGAGTTGTATCCATATTCATGTGTCTTCTCATGTGCAACGGTTAAACAAAGAAATGATACTCTAGGGAATGACACATAGTCTGAAAATGTCTATTGTCAGAAATTCTACAAGGGAAAGAAAAAGGCTTTATGTTGAGCGAAAGCAAGTTGGGTAGACGTATTACTCACCAAGCAATTTGCAATGACAAACGCAACCCCATCAGGTAGCTTGATGTCAGTGGCCCTGGTGGGGTGGAACTCCACATACTTGGCCTATGGAAGAAAGAAAAGATAAGGGGAAATTGATAGAGATGATGGATTGATAGATAGATGTACAGGCAGAGGGAGGGAGGGAGGAATGGATGAACAGAATACTTACTGTTCCTCTTTCCGCGAGGAAGGAAATGGCCTGATCCATACTAGAAAAAAGAAAAAAGAAAAAAAACAAAGAAAAGAAAAGAAAAAAATTGAAAAAAAACCCCAGATAAATAAGTTGGACATCTAATAGGTTATAGATACGACAGTCAAAATCATAAATGTGTGTAACTAAAAGTTCTGACTAATGTTAAATAATAGACCTCTCTACCTTCATTGTTTGTTTCCCTATTTCAGACCTTGTGTCATTCTCTTGAGAATAAGATTCTTTGATTGAGTTGTATCCAAATTCATGTCTATTCTCATGTGCAACCATTAAGGAAAGAAATAATACTCTAGGGGATGACATATGGTCATGAGAATAAGATTCTTTGTTTGAGTTGTATCCATATTCATGTGTCTTCTCATGTGCAACCATTAAACAAAGAAATGATACTCTAGGGAATGACACATGGTTGAAATTTGCATACAAAGGTAAAGAGCTTATCTTCTAAACTACATACCCTCCTCCTTCAGTTCCAATGTATTTCTCACATTTAGTACAGATCTCTGCCAACTCATGCTGAGATAAGGAAAATAATAAATAAGATTATGAATGCATTATAATTTTTAAAATAAATAATAATGTTTAATGCACATTTGAAGAATCTCAATACACTTAATACAAGAAGTAAATATACACCTATTTCAGAAATCATCGCACCAAAAGCCTCAAGCAACAAGCCAAGACCGCAGAGAACGCCGGTACTTTTAGCTGTAATTAGTTTATTCATGGTGCATTTTCATTTATTGACTTCACAAATTGTTCCAAGCAAGGCTGCTTGAGATGATAATTAGTGGAGACCTATAGCCACTTGCATGAACCATGAATAAATCAATTATATTTAATAGTATCGACATTCTCTGGAGCCTTGGCTCGTTACTTGAGGCTCTTGGTGTGACAACGATATTCGAAATAGGTGTATAAATAAATACCTATATATAAAAGAGGATGAAATAAGAAATATTCATAATTGCATTGATTAGGGTAAAATATATTACTAGATAAAATCCACAATGTAATATTTGAAATACTTATTAATTGTATATGTTTAAATATTACCTTTGTCAGTTCTAGATTATTGGCGTACAGAGTGGCTAGTGCAGAGCAGCAAACAAGAGCAGATGAGCTTGACAAACCAGCACTCTAGAAAAGCAAAAGCATTGTATGAAAATAATCCAACAGTTGACAATCTTATTGAACCCTGAAAGAGTTTCCTCTGTGCTTTTTATGGCAAGACTATCTCTCATATGGAATTTAATATCATATTGGAATTTTTTGAGGGAAGAAAATTGGAGAACTTTGAAAAAAACTCTCAATTCAAGGGAGAGAGGCATCACAAACTGACAAGTGATGCCAAGTCTAGATATGAAGACCCCAGATGTGATATCTCACCTTAGGAACACTACCATCCACTATCAAATTCATTCCAACTGGATCAAGTATCGCTAACACTGGGAAGTCAACAATACCCTAAAAGAAAATAAATGAATCGAGAGTTGTAAGTATAGAAAAAAAAAAAAAAAGAAAAGAAGAATTCATGCCTGCTATAGGTCTGTTCTTCCAAGCCATTTCTTTACAGATTTAATCTAATTGTTGTTGCAAATAGCAATAACAACAGGAGCAACGGCAACAACAACAACAGCAATAACAACAGTACAACGAAAACAACAGCAGCAACAACAACAGCAGCAACAACAACAGCAGCAACAACAGCAACAACAAAAATCCATAAAATACTTTATAAAATATTTGAGATATAACGCCCTTGCTGATTGGATGGCTACCGTGTTTATATCAGAGGACAGAGACATGCTCGCGCAAAATCATTCAAAAATATTTTATAAAAGCAATATAAAACATCCGCTTGTCTCTATATGCTGTGATGTAAACACTCTGGGAGCTGTAGAGCACTCGAGAAGTCAAAGAAACACTTGACTATGCCTTGTGTTCGGCTCTACGAATTCTCTCTTGCTCTATAGCTCCCAACCTGTTTATATCACAGTATATAGACACGCGCGCTATTTTATATTCCTAATAGAAAGCATACCTTGTATCCACATAGGAAATAGTGGTACCATTCTTTTCCATCAATTTGATATTCTAGAGTATCCACACTAAAATCCCTAAAATAAACATATTTGATGAGAAGCTTACACTCTCGTTTGGTACCAGGGGTGGTAATATAGGTGACTAGTCATCCCCACCCCCCCCCCCCCCCCCCCCCCAATTTCTCAAGTTTTGTCAGTATATGGTTAGCAACAGACACCTCTCTCTTTTCCTCAAATTCCTGTTAAAACCTTTGCAATACTTCTAAAACTCCTGGATCTGCGCCTGGGTATGCTGAACAATTACTCTCTGCATGTTCTATGTAAAATGTCATTACAATTTGTACAAATAAGCCTGAAGAGAGATGACGTTTTACCCCCGACTCTATACCATAATAGTTTTTAAAATTCTTTGATATTAAAATTTTTGATTCCTTAGAGAATGAATACAGGAACAATAGTCATAATTAAAGAACAAAAGCAGTGTGGAAAGGATTATGCAGGCATCCCAGCCACTTTTTAGGCAAATTTGATAGGAAATATAGG